CTACCAAAGAATCCACAAGCCTACCACCACCAATTAAAAAACATAATAAAACATGCTGAAAAATCACACCAACACGGCAACACCACACCATAAACACCACCGCACATAACAACACCACATCACAGCCACCATCACACCATATTTGAACCCGTTGTGAAGCGAAGCCATTCACAGAGCTTTCATCACAAAACAACACCTCTTTAACCCAATCAGTGCCTAGAGGCATCGCGGTGAATGCAATCGTAGACGCTACTCTGAGCTGTGGCTCACAAAAATCGGAGCAAGAAGTATCTTCGACGGCGTCTTCTTCCAGCTCATCTTCGTACAGTAGTGACGTTCCTAGGCAAAGGTTGCCGTCGCACTCCCTGCAGCCTCCGCCACTCTTCTTTGCAGCGACGCCAGTCTCACAACAGCTTCGGCGCCGTTGGTGATTGATCTCCTATGGTGATTTGTTATAGAGAGAAGGAAGAGATTGTAGAGTGAGAAAGGAAGTGACGGGATTGAATTGGGGAATTGATTAGAGTTTTTAATTGAATTGATTGAATTAACTATATATAATACCTGATGTTTGCATAGATAAATTTCATCCCTGAACTTTGAATTTGAACTTTTAAATGCCTAGTTCTATGTAATTTCCTCTATAATTTATTAATTCTGATCACAGTCCAAATTATTGCTTTTTGGATGGCTCTTTTGTCTTTGGCCCATTTAACCTCTTTCTTTCACCTAATTTCGTTTATAACCTAAACTATGTAGCCTTCTTAGCTTGTTGAATCGTGTGTCATTTGCAAAAGAGAGCAAACAACCGAGAGCTTTGTTTTGGGCCTGAAAATGGCGGCTGCGTCCTTGTTATCTCTATCATCAAAAGTGTTTTGTTGTCATAGGTTTTCTTCTTATCGTTGTGGCTGCAAATCACTACCCCTTTCTTGTCCTCTATAGATGAGAAGATTTAAGCAACCATAAGTGATTGTTGGTTGGAGCCATTTGATTGGTTGTCGGTAAATAAAGATAATGTGAAATTGTGCCCGAAAATTACCAAATCGTAGATTTTAGAGTGAGCTTTCACAACAATTGGTATCAGAGAGCCTGGGTAATAGATTTTAGCTAAAAGATGATCTGAAAACAACCCAAAAATTGATAGAAAATAGGATTAAAAAAACTCCCAATTTTTGCATAAAAATTGGACCTGTAATTTCATTTTTCGGCCAAACCAGAAAGAGTTTGGTAAAATGGAGGCCGAATTCATGTTGTGAAAGTAAAGGCCTAGCTAGGTAACCAGCATGCGAGGTGTCTAGCGACATGTAACAGTTCTATCGATGCGAGTATGAGTACGTGGATGGTTTTTGGACGATGGTGTCTAAAGATATATTACTCTGGAGGCATGGTGGACCCTGCAGTGGTGTTCGATTTCTGTTTTGGGTGAAATTGTTCTAGACAGTTTTGCTTGGATGGTTTTTTGATTATAGTGTCTAAAGACAAATTACTTTGGAGGCGTGGTAGACGTTATGGTGGTGTTCAATATTTATTTTGGGTAAAATTGTAGTTCTAGACAGTTTTACCCTTTGCGCATTTCATATTCTTTTTTGCATGATTGGTTGTTGCGGGGTGTATAGTAGTGACCCTAAAGTGGTAAATTCCCATCTCTTATTATTTACGGGTTGCGGGTCCACTCTAGTGTATTAGCTTATCCCGTTTAAATTCTAACATTATCGAGGATCGTG